AGATTTTTTTTAAAAGTAAGTTTATAATTGATAATCCTTGCTTTTCTTATATATATGAAGTACAGCTCAATCCTGAGCTGGCTTGAAGTCATCTTTATGCTCACGTCTCCCTGACTATCTAACATGGCCCTGGAGGTAACTTACAGAAGCCTAGTAGCTACTCTGAGTTGTAGTTGTTGCAGCCTGTTCTCTTTGATCATTTTGTAAGACCGTGCTGAGTGCACTATATTCTTGGCCCACCCTCCCGCTCCATTTCTTTGATTTCTCAGCCTTCTTTATCCCCAGCAGGTCCCCTTTGCTGAGATGAAGCATGATAAATTTCTGAACAGAGCAATACAACATAGTTGCCTGTACTAGCAGGAAACTGGACTCATTGACTCAGGAATTCAAGCTCCTTCAAGTCCTGTTATCAGATATGGAATGGGTGGTATAAAGTTATTTCTAACCATCCTACAGTGGAGGATTATGTCCCTGATTGTTTAAAGCACAAAGGGCTCTTATGTAAGGGTATAGGCTCTGTCTCTATTGGTTAGGCAGATTTTCTGGAAGCCTATAATAACTGTAAGAAACATCATTGGGCTAGGGTGAAAATGAAGGTACTGTAGTTGAGTAGATGCATGAAACAGGCCCTAGATTAACACTGTGATATTCTGAAATAAATGAACACTTCACCGTTGTGCTATTGTAATATAAGAGCTCCTTTCACTTATCCCTTTTACTAACACAAACATGAGAGACAGCTTCACTAAACATCAGTTGATTTTCCTGTTTAGGTTTTAAATAATATTGGAACTGTATGTTGCCAGTCATGTAGAGAATAATTTATTTTTCTGCTCAATTGCACACCGCACCAGATTGTAGCTAGGTTATTGTAACTGTTGAGTGAATGCTCTAATTTTGCTTCTTTTTCTGATCCCAGTTTACAAATCTTTTTAAAACGCTACTTTTTTCTCCATTCTGTACACTGATTTGGAACAAATGATTTTAAGTACCTGATTGTCTAAGTCTGTGCTTTTTTAGTTAGTTGTGATTGGTTACATAACTTGCACAGACTCTGGCAGTTCTATACATAGTTGAATAAGTTGAATTCTGGGGAGGGTTTGAAGAAGATAGGTAATTCTGAATCTGCAAGGCAGAGGTAGCACTTTAGGGGGAGAGAGCAGATTTTTTGGATCTTTTCTTCTTGTGAACCACAGACTTTGTTTAAAACGAAAGACTTCTAATAGTTACTCTAGGATTAATTGGCTGAGTGGAGATTTTATAATATTTTTCTTGTCAGAGGCTCACTAAAGAATTGCATGTGCTCACACAGTCCTTCTTCCAAAAGTAATTTATTGTTAAGACATGCTCTGGTTTGTTTAATTGCCTCTGTGCCTCTCTGTGATGTATTTCAGATATCTTGTCCAAACTGTCCTATGTCAGTCATGTTTCATCCCATATAAAGGACAATTTCTGGAGTTAATACTCAACCATGTGAGTTAACTATTGCTTTCTACAGTATTCAAGTGCATGAGCTTGTAATAGATCTTACAAAATGAAAAACTAGGAACATGAATATGGCTTAAGTGAATTAAAGTCAAGTAAATAACTGCAGGAAGGTGTTGTACTTCATTTTTTTAGCTTTAATGATGAAAGGCAAACTGGGTTGGGTAAATCCTTTCCCTCAAAACATTCTCAAGGTTTGTATCAACTTATTAAGCTTCCTTTATCACAGCTACTTCTACTCTTTTGGCCAGTAGTGTAACAATGTGTGGGCAACCAGGGCACCAGCCCTGGGGGCCTACTTAGATGGGCACAGGAATGGCAGCTTTCACTGCTGCTGGCCCAGCTGCCACCACTGCCACTGCCAGCCTAACCCCTGCCACCACTGCCCAGGGTGCAGAGCCTAGTAGCTGTGCCTCTGCTTTTCATCTAATTTTTTCTTCCATGATGACTCCTTCTTACCATCAGGCCAGACATTTGAGTCTCATTTCTACTATAGGCTTCACCATTGATTCAAAATCCACTGAAGTCAATGAGAGCTCCCAGGGACTTTAAACCAGGTTCTCAAACTTTTACCTTCTTGTTTCTCCATACATTCATTACTATGTATGACTGACCTCTTAGTGCAATCTTTTGTTTTTTTGAAACTCCTGCTTTTATTTGGGGCCAGGCATATCTGGCTGAGTTCTGAAGTACTTCTCCCTTCCATTTTCTCTATATTTTAGGGGTTTTTTTATCACCTCTAGATTAGAGTTAATGGCAAAGTCAGTTATACTGTTATAGAATAAATTTGCTCCTCCACCCTGGTTGAGCATCATTGCTCTATAGTATGGCTTGGAGGAGGCAATAGGTAAAAGGGGGGTGTGCATATGTAGTCAGGATGAAGAACTGTCTTATTTTTCTTTTCTATGTACAAACTAAAGCCACTTGCTAAAAAATCACTTTTGATGCCTAATTCTTGGTTTTCTATAGGAGTTGTCATTTTATTTACAGTTTCCATACTTATATATGTTTACTACTTCAAGCTACTTATGAACAGTGTCTTGGAAATGCATTTGAAGTGTTCCTGCCAAATCAGATGTGCACTGATCTGTTATAAAAAATGGTCTCAATAGATTTGTACTTATGTGACAACTGTACAACCACCTCATCTGGTATCTCACATCCAGCATCTCTGCAGGGCCCTTTTCAAAGCCAGAACTGTTTATTTGTTTATATCTATAAAAGCATTGCATATACCCCTTTGCATAATTAGAGACAATCTACATTTTCTATATAAGAAACACAGACATTTTATGGGAGATCAGCTTCTGAGCTAGGGACAAATTCAAGTCAAACTGGAAATATGGAGAAAGACATTGGATCAACTGGTTCACTGCCTTGTACATCCTGTAGATATTTATCTCAGCACAAAATGGAATAAACACAACACACAATGGAGGGAAATGGAGACCGGCCTGCTCTATTTGACCAGAAATCAACCGGCCCATTGCTATTTACAGTTGTAGTATTGTTGTGTTGAAAGTAGCAGAGCAAAGCCACCTGCCTTTTTCTTGTTAAGAACATACAAAAAACTGCACTGTCAGCTTTTCTGGACATGGTATAATGTGTAGTCCTAAACTTGCTGATATCAATGGAAATTTTTTTTATCTGAATCTTAATAGCCTTTAGAGAGCAGGCTTTCAGTGTTCAGGTTTGCCATTATCCTCTTCACATGATTTTCTTACCATAGATCTAGGCTCTTCTATAGTTGGACATTTCCCTCTGAGTTTTTTTTTTATATAGCTTACCTGGCATGGAGTTTTCAATATTGGCAGATTGTGACTTTATTAAAAATATACATATTAATTGTAAAAGAGGAAGTGTTGGGGACATGGTTTCTGCTACACCACAGATGAGACAACTGAATGTCAATGAGGAATTTTATCTTTATTTTTATGATGTTAGCACAATAAACTCACACAGTAGCATTGATCTGTACTTATTTAACAAAATACATTTATAGCAATTTACAAATTTTTGTCCATTTGAAAACATTGCATACCATTTTATTAAACACAATACTTTATATATAGAATTCTCATTTAAAAACATATTGGTTTTTATCCAGTATTTTTTTCTCAGTAAAGCACAGCCTAACAAAGAAATTGGTGCTCCTGTTAGCAAGTAAGAAAAAGTAGAACACTAAGAAGATGTCACCTGTCAATTTATCTGATTATTTTAAATTAAGGTATCAGTGGAATGTAAACAAAGATTAATTTTACAAAAGGCTCCTTATCAAATATACATGCAGAGGTCTGAGTTCCAATGTATATATTTTTACATTTCTGTTCTCTAATATAATTTGATATGCCATTATTAAAAAGAGTAGCCTTTGGCACTTTGAGTAAAAAACAATATATCAATATTTATGTAAAGAACACAATTTAAATGATTTCACAAGTGCTTTAAAATTTTTTTGTTAAGAAATAGGAAAGCTTAGATAGGAAAAATATCACACTGCACTTTAAATAATGCAGCAAATTTCAGAGTAACAAAAGCAACATACGATATAGGCCAATATACATCTGCCTAAAATGAAGGAATAAAGAGCAAACACTCCCGCCAGAATCCCTGCCGTTTCCAAAACAGCCAAATTACCAGAGGGAACATTTTTAAATCCTTGTTTTATTGCCATTATTTGCCATTCCAGTTTTCCATTTTGTTCAGGTTCATCTACTTACTTTTCTTCCCCCTGCATTTACAGGCTAATGATTGTGTCTGACCTCTCTGCATTGATAGGTCAACAATGATTGTGTTTCATCCATTCCTTTAAAGCTAATACCTGCTTTATTGTGTGCCTACACTAAACTAAAACCAACAACTTTTGTCCAAGACAATCCATATGTTTGCAATCCCTAGGAAATATGTAAAAAAGATTTGATATTAAATACCAAGGACCAAAGACTCATCTGTTTAAAAAACAAACCCTCAAATCTAACTTGTAAATACTATAATCTCTGAACATATTTTCTTAAAAAATTACTCCTTTTTTCACTGTTCCCAAGTTTCTGTGATTAAGTTCCCCAGCTTTTGTGCCTCATAGACCATTGGCAGCAGGTTGCAATAGCACTGGATAGTACATTAAATATAACCTGTACAGCATATTCCTTGCAACCTCAAAGGCATTGTGAAATCTTTGTCTAGAGCAGAAGGAAAAAGGGTAATGGTTTCTTTAAGGGATACTTCCAGAGTTGGGGAAGCATTGGAATCCAGGTAAGTTATTGGGCCCCAGGCACCTGGGGAAGGTATATAAACCCTGCTGCTCGGGCCAGAATCTTTTCTCATTCTTGTATTAACTGCTCCCATTGTCCCACCACAGGGATTAACATAGGACTGGGTTTTTTGGTCTGCTGTGGACATTGTGCTACTTGCCCCTCTTGGGACTGGGAAAGAGTTTTTCCTTCATTGCTAGATTGGCTGTGGCAGGATT